CACAGCTTTCTCAGAGCCACCAGTGCCATTAAGTCCATCCACTTAGAGATCTATAATCCACTGGATTATAGATTTCATGTTTATGTCTAAGAAAGTAAACGGAAACAAGCTGATGCTACGTTTTTCACAGTTTTCATACAAACCAAAACAGCACAGCTTTCTCAGAGCCACCAGTGCCGTTAAGTCCATCCACTGGATTATAAATTTCATTTTTATGTCCAAGCAAGTAAATGAAAACAAGCTGACACTACGTTTTTCACAGTTTTCCTGTGCAATTAAAATATTACAGTGACCTAGTGCACAGTTGGCAGGGCTTTTCTGCATATAATTCAGTCAAATTTCACATACACAATATTCTCTATTCTTGGTCGAGTAATGAGGTAGCCTAGTAAATATAGATTGGGATCCTTGAAATACTGCACTGTAAAGGGCCACAGTCTTAATTTATCCATTTTTTGTGAGCAAGTGGCTACATATTTTAGGTTATTATAGGTCTCAAACTGATAGACACTACCAACACCTACTGCCTGATACTACTTTTGATGAAGACTGAAATCAAGGATGTTTCCAATTCTAGGGCTGGTAATTAAAGCATTTTATGTTCCTATAAGGGAGACATTTCCCTTACAGCTCTGTATTGATCATTGGGGGTAACTTGACAGACAAGCGGTTCCTACTTTGGGTGACGGAAAGCTGTTAGGCACCTCTTGTAGTTCCCCACCATGCTCCATGCCAGGGCGTATCCATCAGTGCTTCCTGTAACCAAGTGCCACTGATCAAAGGACAAGCACTTAACCGGACCTTGGTGCCCTTCTAACACCTGCAAAGAGAAACAAACACACGTAACCGTTTCCATGTGAGGCTGTAACCAAGTGCCACTGATCAAAGGATAAGCACTTAACCGGACCCTGGTGCCCTTCTAACACCTGCAAAGGGAAACAAACACATGTAACCGTTTCCATGTGAGCAGCAAGACAGCTTCCTGCACGAGACCATCCTCACAAAGCTTTATCAGATATTATTAAAATATATCAATGCCCAACAGGGGTGACAGTGTCAGCTTAGTAGTCCCAAATAAGAAACATTCCGGTCTTGCTGCTGCTGCTTAGCTATCATGCTGTTAACGTCATTTTCCATAATCAATGCATGTGCTAAATAGGTTATTGCATCGTACAATTGCAACCTCTTTCCCCTAAGGTAGAAAAAGTTTCTCTTCTTTCCAAGATGAGGACAAACGTTAATCCTGGACATCACCTAAGGTAACTAGCTAAAAAAGGTCATGAAAGTCATGATAAAGACAGAGGTTTTTGACAGTTTAGCACGGAATCCTCTCCCTAGCAAGAAACTCACTTTGATCAGAGCGCCGCTCTCCACGTACCAGACTTTCACCAGGCCCTTGTCACAGCCGCTGACCATTAGTGGAATTTCAGCTGCATGTTGTGCCCACAGCTCAGCCTGGAGACAGGTATTGACTTCATGAGTTTAACTACATGGCTACCTTTTAAAATGCAAAGTCTAGAAAATGGCATATCCTTTTAATCCTTCAGTTATAAATACCAATGAAGTGTCTGGCAAAGCTGAAAACTGATACCGCTCTCCCAAGACTTGGTCTAGCGATGAAGCCACAAAGCCATTTTAAACTAAATAAAAACAGAAATACTGACAATTTATGCAAGGACACAGAGTCCGTGTGCGTGTGTATGCACACAACTTAGCGTTCTGTAAACAACAGCATGACAAAATTCACCATCCAGTTCATATATTTATTTTCAGAATCCCACACTTTGTCACATTCCTCACGACTCCCAAGTACTCTGCCCATTTGTCATTACTACTTGCTGTTGACCAGGAGCCTCCTGGTTTCAGCTCTCACCTTTCACCATCCCGTCTTTGGCTCCTGACACAAACTTATCTTTGAACAAATCCAGGCAGGTGATGGTCCCCGAATGACCGTTAAAGATTTTCGTACAAACACCACTGTATATATCCCAGCATCTACAAAGTAAGCACCAAAAAGGAAATCCAGTTATTAATAACTAACCAATGCATTATTAGTTCTGTTGTTGGGGTTTTTTTTTGCTCCTTAACAGGCCCATCTGTCCTTCCATATGCCCTGGGTTAAACCAGGAATCATTCAGCTCTGCTCCTGTAACAACAAATTAGCTTTTATATGTGTGTGTGTGTATATATATATACACACATATATATATATATATATATTTATTTCTCTCATGCAGTCTTTCACCTACCTACCTCCAAACCTGCCTGGAAATGGTTACATTAAGCTTGCCTTCATAGATAGACCTTTATAGGCAACCTTATTTTTCCCGGCTGGTCTCAAGGTGACTTCTATTGACATTAGATAGAGAACTCAAACACACACAAACCCCCCTTCGGCCTAGCGAGGGGCCAGGAGGAGCTGGCTGGAAGCAGCACCAACATTTTCCCCATTGCTCAGCACTGCCCTTGAGGAGACCGCGCGGCTGCCACAGCAGAGCTGGGCCCCTTGATAGCAGGACATTACGCAAAGGGGTAATATCAACAGACCCTTGAGATCGGGGCAAATAAACCTCAGAGCTGATCACCTTCACCTCTTGCTTTAGAGTGCGGTACCTGGAAAGGAGCAGCAGCATTTTGCAAAGAAAAGTCTCTTTTTTTCCCCCCCAAACCATAGGGAGATGCACGCGCAAGATGTTGAATGCACTTAACACAAGAGGCCTTTTCAAGTCCCAAGGAAGAACCCCAGCCCCACTGAAGCAGAGTCACCTTAGCAAAGCCAGAATCCTTCTGTAAGTGCCTAACTTTTTTTTTTTTTTAAGGATAAAATACACAGATTTTCCCAAGGTGTCTTCCATTTTAATCATTCAGTATCAGATGAAATTAGAAAATTGAGAAGCTGTCCTATGCAGGTGGAGGATATGCTTAATTCTCTCCTTTCCTTTTTTCATTATCCTAATGAAAGCAATGTGAAGGAAAATTCCTGAAGTTTGGGCTGGAAGGTTTAAAGTTTGGGGTTTTTTTTTCTAGATTTTCCAAGGGACTGGTGGTATCCTGAGGCACAGTCCTAGTGCTGCTCACCTGATGCTGAGATCAAAGCTTGCGCTGAGAACGAATCCTTCCTTCTCATTGAGGTACAGCGCTCTGATGCTCCCAGCGTGGCCAGAGAGCATGGGCAGCACTTCTTTCATTTCCAGCACACCCAAAAATCTCACTTTTCGGTCTGCAGAACCAACAGCTACCAAGTTTCCACCACTGTAGTGGATTACTCTGTTCGGGTCTAATCTGGATAAGAAACAGCGATCGAGATGAGCCTTAGCCAGGTAGTGGTGTCTGTCAGTCTCAACAGGCTGCAGCAGTTACTGACAGGCATTTCTGTAATATTTGAATTATATTGCTGAATTATAAAGCAAGCTGATGGACAACACACTCAGGGATGTGAATCCTTTGCAGGGCACCACAAGCAAGGTTCATAGTTCTGTATACCCAAGTTGGGAAGTAAGTTTGAAAATGGGAGGTGGTCCCCAGCTTCACATCCCTTGCAACCCTCTGTGGACTGATGTTCCTTACATCTCTAAAAATGACTCATCTTGGTATCTTATTTTAAGAAATGGATTCTATACTGAGGATTCTCTTAACACTGATGCTGAGACCACCCATTCCCACAGGGGCATCTCGGGTCTTTCTGTCGGGTTTCAGGTTTCTTTAGCCCTACAGGGTTAGGGCAGAAAGCAGCGGAGCAGTCTACGTACTGGTCCGTGAGGACACGAATGTTGTAGGAGCCACAGAAGACATTTCTTTCTTCCAACTGTATGGTGTCAGTTTTCAGACCATGATAAGCTAACTGCAGACTATCTTCCTCATCCTCCTCCAGACAGAAAGAGAGACACAAAAGTATTAACCAGGAGGGTGGAGAGAGCAGCATTACTGCGTAGTACGTATAGCTCAATTCCTATTGTGCTGATGACACCAAAAGACATGGAAAATGTCCACAGGAAACACGCAGTGTGTAGGAACGTCCCAGTTAGTAGAGAAGCAAGGATTGCTCCCTGTACAGAATTCAGTAGCAAAAGGCAGAGTAGCTGATAACAGCACCCTTTATTTGAGGAAAAACTTCATGTCCTCGTGATGCTGCCCAGCCTTGCCAGTGCTGCTGGCCTTGAGACCATTCAAGGAACTGGAGAGAAGCACCAATGCCCGGTACAAGTTCCTTCCATTGGGAGACACAGGCTCCCTCCTGTGCGAAGGGGAGCTGAGCACGCGTTGGTGCTTGTGAACTGCTCATGTGGGGCAGGCCAGTGGCAGGAGGAGAGCAAAGCTGCACCTAATTCACCATCCACCCTTCCCAGACCACTACGCCGTCCTCCTGCCCCAAACACCGATCCACGGAAGGAAAACCACCTCTGACATACCTTCAATTTACTGGTCCATTTTTGGTCTTTCACTTGGATGATATTTCCGTCTTTGTTCAACCGTGGAATGGTCACATTGACTATTTTAGCATAGTTGGAAACCACTCCCCGAGGGCACGAGCCCTGGAATAAACCAACAGAGGCAGCACTGTCACTGCACAGCCCAAACACATGGGGGATACTGCTCCCGGTGCAGCACTGCAGTTACCTGCAGCCTTGTTCTTTGGGAATATCACCAGGTCCTCGTGATGCTGCTTAAGAGCATTGGGTTACATTTACCACTTTGTTCATATAATATTTAATTTCTTAAAACTGTATATATTGTTACAATATTTAACTTCTTAATAGAAATATATTTTTCCCCCCTTCAAACTTAGAAGTCTTTAGCTTTCAATAAGCTGAAAAGCTTTTACTTCTTAATGATGGCAATTTGAATGCACATCTCGTCTCTAGTGACCACTCAGTTGATTTAGAATCTCCATAACCATTGAGGGGTTGAAAGGCTCCAAGCAAGTCTCTATCCTTATAGGATTAAGATTCATTTTAACACATGGAACCTTTCATTAAACCTTCTTTGAGTATTAGCAGGAGTATTTCCATGCTCTTTCCAAGAAATAGCACTCAGCCATATAATCCATAACTTTGGGGAATTTGCTTTTACTCTTAGTCTATAGCAGGTTTGTACTAACCAGGACAAGCCTTTACCCCTAGTTCTTCTCAACTGTGTCCCAACCACCAGCACTCACTTCCTGCATGGAAATCCATCTTTTCCATGTTTGTGTGGTGCTAATAACCCCACTGTTCCACCTGCTATAAAGGTCAATAAAGGCTGTTCTGTTTTGCTTTACCTATGACTGTATGAACATCTAACCCACTTCAGCTCTGCAGCTGAGAAAGGAGGAAGAAGGAGCAAGAAGAAGTTGAGAAGGGACCTTCAGAAAAGGCTCTTTCATCTAATGGCCTGGGCAGCAAGAAGAAAAACCCTCTTTTTAAAGTGCATGATAATGGGAGAAGCCCAGGCCTCATACCTGCAAGCACACGATTTCCTCCTGGATTATTTTCTGAGACACATGTTCCCTCTTGACTTCCTTGGCCAGAAAAGCCCAACATTTACTCACAGCCACACATGTACTGAGGGATTTTCGATCCAAAAGCCCTGAGGAATGAAAAGGACAGAGTGATTAACCCCTACGCAAATCAGAGGGCATCTCTGAGCCTTGGGAGAAGCCACCCCTGGAAAATGAGAGGACTTTACCCAGGATGTACTTGGACAGGTGAGCTGGCAGGCAGCGAATGAAATCCTTGTACTTGTTGATATGAAAGACCGAGTGGAAAGATCCTGGAACCACGGAGACACCTGTAGCAACTAAGGACGCAGTAGAGAATTTATCCACCGTACCAGGTCCCTTCTGTAAGACATACTCGCTGTTTTGGGGGCAGACAGACAGGCTAGTTGATAGCTGACCACCTAGAAGACAACGGAATTGGCAGGCAGTAAGCTTGAGCTGTGGCTTCTATTCATGGTACGGTTGTTAGTAAGGCAGTGCAAAAGTCAGTCAACTTTAAGCCAACTTTGGAAAATCCCTTCAGTAGCACACAGTTCCAAAGGAAACGGTGGGCAGCCTCGTCCTGCGGGAGCAGAAGGTGTCAGTGTCTTGAAGAACAAGTCACGCTCCGTCATGGGGCTGGAAGGTGTGTGGGGTGTGAACTCTTCCTGTCCACCACTGCCCTGAAAAGCGCTGAGGGCTCTTCACAGGTGAGAAAAGTTTGGGTGATTAGGTATGCAGCACCCTCTTTGCACATGGTGGAAATGCAACACGACATATTTCTTCTTACAAAGAGAAGATACTTCATCTACCTCCTCCAATTTTATCTATAGGGATCACCAGCACAGGCTGCCCTAGTCTTTAAGGGGAATATCAAAGCACACAAAGGAGTGGGAGGCCCTCTCATCCTCATCCATTGGATTTTCCGTCATGAAAATACAGTTCATGATTTTGCAGAAGGAAAAAAAAAAACAAAAAACAAAACACACACACAAAAACCCTCTCCTGTTCTCTCCAAGGTAATGGAAAACCAATGACTTTCTCATACGACTAGCATGAGCTTTTTCATTTGTTTTGGTTGCTTAATGGTGTCCATGGACACCTCTAGCGTCTCTGTCAAGCAGAAAGCACCCATGGTGTAAGGCTGTCCTTGCTTTTAGGATAAGCTCCAAAGGATGCACAGCAAAGGATTAGGGAGCTCAGATTGTGCCAATGGAACACCTTCAACCCTACGGCAGATCAGCTCGGTGCTCTCCACTGCACTCGGAGCAACAGGGTCATCTCGGCTATGGGACTGTGCTTCCAGCACCTCAGGAAATTCAGGAGCTGACTCAGCACAGATTCACCCATTAAGCAACAATCCCCTCTTGTACCAGACTTCCTTGAACTTTTCAGCTAAGCATTGCCATGATCTGCTCTGCTTTTTGGCTAAATGAGCTCAGAAAAGAACCGTTGCTGGGCAGTGCCAATTGCTAACCTTCCAGTTCCTTCAATATGCTATAGATTTCCTCCAGTATTAAATTCTCAAGTAGTGGTACCTGCATTACCAAACTGGCTGACTTTTGCAGATGAAACTGCACTCGCAAGGTTTGCAGACACAGTGCTAACGGATTGTATAGCAAAATGAATCCGGCTTCCGTGAGGATGACTGTCATCTTTGGCACTGTTTAAGACTTTAGAAGATGATTTGTCTGTGTCTTCTTTATCTGGAAGAATTCAGGAAAGAATTAAGGACATACACAGTCACAACAGGCACCTTAAAGTCCAATTAGGGGATTGCAGAAGTTGGCCTAGAAAGTATACTAAGCTTATATTTTGCTATATTATTTATTCCATCATGTCTACCTATGCAGAACTAGTCCCTGGAGGGTTTTTTTCAGTATGTTTCTCATTACTTAAAGATTTAAACTGACGGTTCTTCCTTCTGAGACCTGCTGCCCCGCAGGATTCGTGTTAGGAAGCATTTTCATTGCGCCGTGCTCGACTCCGCGCCCTTGGGGCTGCGCTCCCGTTCAACGATCCCAGCTCTTGGATTGTCACTGGTCCCAAGGGTAGCGCTGGGTCAGGGTAAAGCAGCAGAGCCCGAGGCCCCCCTGGCTCTGATTCCCGCTGCCAGG